TCTGATTTATCACTTTCACGGGTTTATTACGAATCAACTTAACGGCCTGCTCCCAGTTGGCTTGTTAGCTCAATTGGTAGAGCGCTGCACTAGTATCGCAGAGGTCAGTGGTTCGAATCCCGTACAGGCCTGATTTTTTTCAGGTCTGATTTTCGCTATTGCTTAAATAGCGCTATCTACTGCGAGGATCGTGCATCATACGTATACGTCCGTGTCTCACCATGTATCCGCCATGTTTGAAACGGGCAGAAAGCTGAGTACAAGTCGGATTGCTTCAGCGAAGTCGCTATGGATCATTTTAATGGACAGACATGTAATTGCACTGCCACAGAGTCCTTATAGACCCTTCAAAACGGAAAAAAGAATGCTGTCCACGCTAAGAACGAAGGGCGATAAAGATTCTCAGCTCACTTCGAGGGCGAAGAAAAAACTAAACAGAACCGTTCTGTGTAATTTTTTCCCTGCCCTCGATATTTCCATCAGTAATAGGTTTTTTTCGAAACCACGCCACCACCTGATAAAAATTGCCCATGTTATGTCTTTTACAGTTACCATTTCGACTGTTCGAGAGTTCATTGCGAGTTCTAGTTTAAACCAAGTTACCGCACAAATTGCCCAAACAGATCAAAATAAAGCTACTACAGGTAAGTAACAAAGAATCATTCAATGTGGACAACGTTGAGTGGAAGTCAGTCTCAAAGTAGAAAGAGAAGGAAAAAAATATCGCTTATCTGAAATTATTAAGTCCCTTACTTCCTATTGCACTAATTCCCTTACATATGGAGATGTAACAACATCACTTTCGTTCAAATTTATATTTTGGCCAATCTCATTAAATAGGCGGTCAAACCATAAAGCCTTGAATCAAGTAAGATATCATTACCAGAACACAATACGTAAATTGGCAATTTATTTCCCCTGCCAGCCCTCATGAAAAACAAATCGAACTGTCACTTGTCAATTCTACATGCCCATTTCATGCAAGGAATCATGTTTCCAAGTCTGCCAAAATTTGAAGTTGAAATAAGCTGTTCTGAGGCACGAAAACCGCAAACCGATCCCCCTTGCTTACAATCTACCCGAATAAAAGATGGCTGAAATGCATTTCGAATTATTTGGCATTTTTAGATAAAATAGAAACTTGGTCTATTTCATAGAGGAAACATTGACATTGTGGTTAAATCAACGGGAGTGTGGCCAGAGGGATTCCTGGGATACTCTTGACCTCGATTGGTAGATAATCTTTGAGTAAATAACATACCAATCCCATAATTCAGGATTGGCAAGACGTTGGAATATGAAGAAAATGTCAGAGAAGGGCAACTATTTCCCCTTTATGACATTTCGAGTATTCAGTATTCACATTTTTGGAGCTTGATGGGAAAACCAAGAGATGATTATGCCACATGAGCAAAATAAATATATTCCACTATTCATACTGCACTATGTGTTCGTTAGAACACAGTTCCCATCTCAAATATACTTGTTTCTCCCATGCTGTTAGACTTGAAGAGTTCCTGTCAGGTGCGGAGCCCTTTTGTTTTACATCTGCATTTTCTTATCTTTTAACCAGAAAAAGACGACTACAAGACCGTTGATACGTTGCTGTTTTTCGTTGGCTACTCAAGAAGTCGTCATACTTTAATGGCTTCTCTGCTGGATGCTCACCCTCACATGATCGTAGCTAACGAGAAGAACCTGTTTTACTGGTTGAGGAATGGAGGAAAGTATGAAAGGACCGAGATGTTTGATACTTTAATTGAGGGTTCCAAAGGTTTTCTAAGGGGAGGCAAAGGAATTGTGATGGATGGAAACCTTCAAAACACTACTCATTTTGGATTCTGGATGAAAGGTTACTGGCAAGGGAGTTATGATAAATATATTAAGGTGAGGCTTTAGAACATAACGTATCCTCGTTTCGTGAATTAGTGGTATGAAAAGGCCAAGTACCAACTTGCTCCGACACATGCGTTTTAGACTACGTTCATACTTGATGCCCGAACATTAGTGACAGCCCCGGCACAAAATGATTCTGCATTCAGACTGGGGACTGTGTATCGATACATCGACATACAGTCCCAAGTTCAGTGCCCGAGTACAAGGTCTTGCACGGGCACGGTGCGGGTGCACTAGTGTGGGTACTGAAAAAAAGGCTGTTTTCACATTAGTGCCCATCAAGAATCGTACTCGGGCACCGAGCACGAGTAGCAAGTATTAACGCAGCCTTAGATCTCGACTACACCTAAGGTTATAATGGCTTTGGTTGTCAACCATTCGAAAAGCGCTGCTGCCGAGTTACGTTTTGAGTGGCTCGGGCCCTTTTTTTTTTTGAGCTGCGACCACCAAATTTTTTCGAAAATATTTAAACTGTGAATTAATTGTATATTACTTAATCGTGATTGTCACTGAAAAACCCAAATGAGGATGTGCCAATAAAGTTTTATCACTGTTTTGATGTAAGTTGACGTCATGATTGAGTCCAGGTCAAGGTTTGCTTTATTATTTGGTTAGGGCTTACCTTTTACACTAGTTCTCATTTACTTTATTGACGAAATTAACAGAAAATCCTCCAATTAAACGTATCAAAATAGCAACTCAGTCGCATAACGTCTCCCACAGTAGTAGACGTATTTGGTAAGGGTTCCATAATTTGAACAGTTTAAATCGAGGTAACGGCTATTCTATATCCACTCTTTTCCCTGTTGTGCCGGAGAAGGGAGGGGGGGCAGGGTACAAGGGTTAGATAAATCATGCGAGTAACCAGACCTTTTAGAGTTTCAAAGACCCTTGAGCCAAGCTTGTGTGTGATTCAAATGCAAATATAAGTTCAGATGTAAACAACATTTCCACATCACGAAATACAGACGCAGGGAAGGCAGGCAACTATCGCGCTGTTGAGTTCTTTTATCTTATCTTTGAGGCTTTTTTTTTCTAAAATATAAACAAACGAAAAAAGAATAGAATACCTGAAAACTCGATCACACACTCTGCGTTCGAGAAACATCGAGATTTTCTTTTTTATTTTGTTCTTCGAAAGAAATCAAAGTTTCCTTGAGAAGATTTCGTTTGAAATTTTCAATTTTTATCAAAGATTTTGCGAGATAGCATTTGTTTTTTGTGCTTTCCGTAACAATTTTCGTGGGAAATCGACACACAGCTGGCTAAAAGTCAGCCCTATGTTTAACTGCTGAGCTCTCCTCGCCATAGCATGGAGAGCATCAGTGCTTCGGATGCTTTACCACTGAGCTCTAGGTGACTCATGGTAGGCTAGGTCGTTTAGCTAGGTCTGTGGTGACAAACTTCTGTATACTTCCAGGATAGGGACGTCGAATACGATAATTTTTCACAATGATGATATAAATGAAGATAGTAAATTTGAAGCTTGGTTATTTGACGCTTTAACTTCCAAGTTGAGATTGCAAATTTTCCCATCTAGCTGCGACACATTTCCTCCTAAATTAGTTATGAGAATTTGGTGTTAGATCAAGATAATAACCTCTAACTGATCAGCCTGCGTATACTCGTTGCTTGGTTGCTTGATAATGAGTTAAGTAAAAGATGAAGCTATTCAGTGAATGACACAGGCATGCACGGAGAAAACGGAAATAAAAATGTTTCATTTATTCCTTTCGACTTTCTCATTTGTGTTAAGGTCATTGGCGACAAGACTGCCTGGATAACTTCAGGAGTATTTCGGAGCACTACCCCTGAAGAGTTAACAAAATTAGTGGATGAAATCGAGAAGACATACAGTGTTAAAGTAAAGTTTATCCACATGATAAGGAATCCGTTCGACATCGTGTCAACGATAACTTTACGCAACACCAAGCAGGAAGGCGGCAGGTTTGGAGACCATTCCAAAAAAGTAAGGGGGGACTGCACTGTATTTTCTCGAATAAGTTTCCAACCTTCAATAAGCGCCCCTCCCCTCATTCCGCCAGAATAAGCACCCACGCTCTGAGCGCCCTTCCCCACATAAGCGCCCCTCCCCTCATTCCGCCAGAATAAGCACCCACGCTCTAATGGGCGCCCTTCCCCGCATAAGCGCCCCTCCCCTCATTCCGCCAGAATAAGCACCCACGCTCTAATGGGCGCCCTTCCCCGCATAAGCGCCCCTCCCCTCATTCCGCTAGAATAAGCACCCACGCTGTAATGGGCGCCCTTCCCCGCATGAGCGCCCCTCCCCTCATTCCGCCAGAATAAGCACCCACGCTCTAATGGGCGCCCTTCCCGTATAAGCGCCCACCCCCTTGGCTAATATAGGGCGCCTGGACGTTAAAAGTTCTCAATCCTGGTGATCACTTTACCTTTTTTGTCAGACTGAAAAGTTTGGTTTAAGATACTAAAACGACGACCACATTGTCGATAAATTGGCGTCCAAGCTTGCCAGAATTAGTTTTTTGATGATCCCCTTGTCGTCTGCGTCTCGAAATCGTCTCAGCTTGAGTTCTCCAACGTCAAACGAGCGCCCCTCTCGAATAAGAACCCCCCCTATTTTCTCAATTTCTTGAAGAGAAGAGTTACGAGGAAAACTTGTTCTTATTACCACTTTACACTTGATTTTTTGAGCTTCACTTAATATTTAAAGCGAAATTAGTACAGGAGAATAACCTTTTTTTTTTCCGTTGAGTCTCGTCCAGTTATTTCTATCTCCACGTGTTCGCAGAGTTCCCTTATGTGCGTCATCTATTCTTTTAAGTTTTGTCTTATTGTCGTGCTTAGTAACCAAGCTCCCCTCGATTAAATGCCCTCCATCAGTTAGCGCCCCATTTCTGAAAATAAATTTTAAATAAGCGCTCGAGAGTTCGTTCGAGGAAATACCGTGTGTTCATTTGTTTAATGTGCCTTATGCGCAAATCGCGTAGATTTCAAAACGAGTCTTCAGTACCAAATAAAATCTTTTCGGATATAAATAGGAAATTTGGATGCACTCTTTTCCTGAAAAAAAGAAAAGAAAAGTGGACAAAGCAGGCAGATTCATCTCCATCTAGTAAATTGTTGGAGTTCCGTATCATGGAGTTTTCTTTTGAATCGGATTACGAGAATCGTCTCTAACTATTATTCAGCTTACGCAGAGAGACCTGGAACATGTACAGAGCTACGTATTAAGAAGTTAGATTAAAAGAAGCGCAAAGAGCAGGGGTAGTGGAGTGGGGAACATTTTGGTTGGGATAAATGACCTTTTCTTCGAGTATGTTTGAACCTCCAAAATTTCAAAATTTAACACTCCACCGCCTCTGCCGAATTACTTTAAGCACATTTGTATTGATATTTGGTTTAATTTCGTATGTAAAAGCAGCTTCTTCTTTTAATTCTTCATCCTAAGGTCGATGACCCAAAACTGTTGGAGCATAGCATGGAGAGATTTTTCAACTGGGCTCAAGGTAGTGCCGTCGCTAGAGAGGTCCTGGGAGACAAGCTCCTTGACGTAGATGGTCTTGAACTCGTAAATAAACCCGTAGAATATATGACAAAAGTTTGTCGTTTTATTGAAATCACGTGTTCCGACGACTACCTCAGGGCATGCGCAAAAGTTGTGGATTCCACGCCATCTACAACTAGAGAGTGGGTGGTTTGGAGTAAAGAGCATTTGAACAGAATGTATTCTGAGTTCGAAAAGTATCCTTTTTTAGCTCACTATACATTTGATGATTAACCAGATATCAATAGACTATAAGCTGTAAAACAATATCCTGATGGATATTAAATTTTCTGGCTCTCGTTACCAAGTCAGTGTGTAAAATTTGTATGATATGATGGTCAAATTAAAACAATACAGATCTTGCAACGAGAATTTTCCTCTTTCTTTTTTTTTTTCTTACGAATTTTTCTCAGTGAAAACACTGCAAAAACTTTGATCCAAAAAAATTGCATGTCGAAACGCGGGGAAAAAAGAGCATTTTCACCCGTAACTCCCC